TTTACTAGCTAATCTAGTAGGGGGGTAGGCGTTTAGGACTAGCTTTAGGACCGCCGATCGAGTAGATCTTTAATCATCGAAGATTACTTATATAGCTAAGCGATAGTTCTAGGCGTCTTTAGTATGAATTAGCTAGAACTAGTACTTAGCCGGCTATCTAGTAGTGTTAGCGTTCGTAGAGAGATATTCAGCTTTAAAAGGACCCTTTCTGCATTAATTAGCACTAAACCAGTGGCTACGAAGCTATTTTGAATATTTAATGGCTTCTAGAAGGCCTCTAGCCGCGCGCGTTAGTAGTTAACTAAGAAATCGAACTTATCGATATAGTTATATCCTTAACGGGTAAGATCGCTCATAAAGCGACCGTATACCCTTTTAACCACTACAAAACAGCTAATATCTAGTAGCTATAATAGATGCGACGTATACGTAGGTATATAAAGAGATATAATATCGTTTTCTGCGCAGATTCGGTCGAATTAAGGTGTAAGATAGCTACTATAACCATCGAGGATTAATAGCCGAAATCGACCGCGTACGCGCGAATTTGTTGATGGGATAAAGAGCTTTTATAGCCAGCGTAGGCTAATCTCATCGCTAGTCTAGCCATTCGGCGAAACTTCGATTCGCCAATCTTTTGGTAGATTATCAAACCAACTAGCTATAGCGTTTTTAGCTTTAAAAATCACACATAGCGGAAGCGAATAGCCATCAGCGCTAATTGCCTCGATCGTAGTAACCCATTCGCGATTTCCTAGTTAAAGAAGGCGACGGCCGTTACCATATATTTCTGCCTACGTAATAACCTTCTGTGTAGATATAAGGCCTATTGCAAATCCTATCTCATCAAAGTTATAGATATCCTCCGGTTATACACCGTTCTTATCGATAACGCGTTAAACGGTAAGAAACCACTCTCGTAGAAGCTTCGGGTCTTCGTTTAGGGCACGTTAGTAGTTATATCGTATTAATAAGCGTATACGAAGGTCAGGGCGACGGCTAATAAGATTTAACGGCCAATTCGTGCCAACGGTAGGCGGAGGGTAGCTACCGCGCGCGGCTAGTAGGATATTAGCCATCTCGCGTATAGTATCCTTCCTAGGCGCTGCTCTACGCTTATCTATAGAGAATATCCATTTAACAAGCGAATCCTCTTCTAATCAAGTAAGCTTCCGCCTATTTAGTGGTGTGTTAACGCGTGATAGCCGGCCATTAGCGCGCTTCTATAGGGTAGAGCGAGGTATATCGTATAGCTTAGCTACCGCACGAATAGATTAGATACGGCCTTCTTATAAATTAGATAGAGCCAATAGGATCTTGCCCTCTTATTTGGCTAGTTTCTGCGTGTATTCAGAGCGAATTGGTGGTATGGTAGGTTATTAAAGTTGGTAGGTTAGTAGGAAGACACGATTTTGGATGGGGTGGCCCGCTCGTTTGGGTGGCCCGCTCGCTTGTGTAATACGTTGTATCGGGTGAAAATATTACCTAAATCACGGACGCACTAGAAGATGACTAATTAAACCTACTAGATATGTTAAACGATACGGACGAATTTAATATATAGCTTCGGAACGTTATAAGGATCTTAAGATAAAAGGATCTATACCGATTTATCGATTACTAAATCTAACGCCCTCTAACCACCTCGCTATTAGTATGTAGATAGGTAAAAACCTCTCGTAATATTTAGATTTAGTTACACTAATCGCTCTCTAACGATATTAATAATCGGATCTAATCTAGAAATTTCTTTTGCGACTTTACGGATAAATATATTAAGGTATTAAAGTAAACCCTCGATATTACCGGCTATAATTTAGTAGCATAGGATTATTTCTAAATAGATATAAGTAACCGCCTTTCTTTCTTATCTACCCTCAAATTCGTGATTATATTCCGAGATATTTATATAAGAGTTTCTTTACGTATTACCCTATCACCCTTTTATATATATTAAAAGTTATTAAGGGGGATTCGAGATAACTACCTAACCCTAGTCTCTAATAAATATATAGTTTTTAATTTAGCCTACTCTAAAATAGATATACTTAATACTAACGCCCTTTATAAATTATTCAATAAACTAACTAACGAGCTACGAACCATCGAAATTCTCTATATAGCTATAATAACCAAAAAAACCAAAAAAAAATAAATAAAAATAATTCGAAAACTAGTAATAAAAATAAAGACTACGAATTCTAGCTATTAAAAAACTTCCCGCTAAAAAAAATAAAACTAAAGGTGCTTTCTAAGCATAGCTGAATGATTAGCTAAACGGTGTAAACTAAATAACACTAAAGAGTAATAATATATTTTATAGGAAAAAGGGATATAGGCCTAAAACCTACGTATATATATTGATCGAGTATAGAACACCTAATTAGAAACTAATCAAGGGAATTTAGGTATATTACCTTTAGAGAAATAAAGAAGACCTAACTACTCTAACGCCTAAAAAATAAAAACTTAATATAAAAATAGATACTAAAAGGATAGATATCTAAACCTACCGTTCGTAAATCTAGCTAATATTAATATTACTAAGCGTAATAAACGCCTAAATTATACTAATTAAAAATATAACTAGACTAAAACTAATAGTATTACTAGCCTATCATTTCTATAGTACTGACTATCCTAACCGCCTAAATTATAACTAAAACATCTTAAATAGAACTAATATTAATATAAAAAACGTAGATATAGTAGTTAAGTACTATATACCCTACGGTTTTTCTTTAATAATACTTAGAAAGAACCGGTTAATCTAGATATTTACTTTAATATGTTAAGAAGTAATATTAGGATAATAGATAAAGATTAGTAGGATATAGGATCTGTTAATAGTTACTAACTAGAAGAAGTCGTAAAATACGAGTTCGAAAGTAATCGCCCTAATCTAATAATATCCTATACTAACGGGATTAATTAAATAAGACTAGTTCTACTTTTAATAGTAATAATTATAAAATCCCGAGGCGAATAGATTATTAATTTAGGGGTATCTTAATCTATATAGATACTTACTCTATTATTTAGTTCGAGTTATATAGAGGTAATAATTGTTATCGTTACTAAATATTAGAAGGATAAATAATTATACTAAAAGGTAAAGTAATTATAAAGATTAAAGTATTAGATATTAAATTTAAATACGTCTCTAATAGATCTTTTAATCTACTATTAATAACCCGAACCTACCTACTAAATAGGTTAGAAAGATTAGAAGAATTATTTTCATTAATCTAGAAAACAAGATAGCTATTCTTATATACGCTTATAGAAAAAGGGGTATATTATTTTTATATATAATATCCTTCCGCCCTTCTTATTAAATTAAGATAAAAGTACCTAAGGATATTTTAGAAGCCTACTCCTTAGTAATAATTTTATAAGAACTCGCCTATATAAGATTAGGCTACGTTAGCTAACTAATAACAATAGTTAATTATTATTAGATTAGTAATAAGTAGAAGGAAATAGTTAATTTAACTATGAACTATATAGATTAGCTAAATCGAAAAAGATTATATACTATAATCCTTAAAACGTATAAAGAAACTATAGTAATTAATCTATATCGACCTATAACTATCCAAACTAACGGGGATTAATAGTATAAACTACTTAATTATTATCTATAACGATATAACTTAAATAAGATAGATATTACTAATTAAAGTAAAATCCGATACTTTAGCTATATTAATCCGTTAGGTAATACTTATTAATAATATCACACGATATTAGCTAATTAAAGTCTAAAGCGACGGTAATAGAGGGTTATTTAAGTTTAAAGATTAAATCAAATTAAAAGGAATAACTTTTATTATAAGTCCTCCCTATATACACGAATAAAACGGTGTTTTAGAACCTTCCGGATATATAATTATATAATTAGTAAGAACCCATATACTTATAATACTAGAAGTACTAGTATATCTTTAGCCTTAAGCAGTAATTATATTAATATATATCTTAAATTAGATTCGACGACCTTAAGAGATAGAATTATTAATAGAAAAATAGAATAGAGCTTTATAACTAAGATATATTAAACCAATCGAACTTAGTTATCTTCGAGTATAGTACTTTAAGGCTTATATATATATTCTATAAGAATAAAGAGTCTAAGGTAATAAGATAGCTCTTTATATATAGATTAGTAACTTAGTTAAATATAAAGGAGATAGTAGCTATATTTACTATATATACGATCCTTCTAAAAGAAAAGTAATAATTTAACGAGATATTATATTCTAGAAAGAGCTCTAGCTTATAAGAAGATTATTAGGATTTAAAAAATAAGAAATTACTAAAGATAATAGTAAAAATAAAAAAAGGATTAATAATGAATTATTTATAAAGAAAAGATACTATTGATAAGACTAATATAAAACTCTTAATTACTAAGATTAAAGAAAGTAAGAAACTAAGATAATAATAGAGTAATTCGCTAATAATCCTATTAAGAATAACTAATTAAAAGGATTAGATATTCTAAACTACTACTTAAAAGAATAAGATAATTAGAATAATTAATCTAGTATAAAACTAACTAATAATCGATTTTATAATAATAAGTACACCTATTACTAATTAATTTAGAATAACGTAATTCCCGCTTACCCTGGCCACCCGCTTACCCTAGCCACCCCATCCAAAATCGCGTCTTCCTACTCACGTACCAACTTTAACCACCTACAATGCCACCAATTCGCTCTGAATCCTGGCTAAAATCCGCCAAACAAGAGGGCAAAATCCTATTAGCCCTTTCCGATTTAAAAGATGACCGTATCAAATCTATCCGTGCGGCAGCGAAGCTATACGAAATACCACGCGCTACACTACAAACACGCGCTCATGGTGTAGTCTCTATAGCAGAGAGACGCCACCCACGCCATAAACTTACCCAATTAGAAGAGTATTCGCTTTTTGAGTGGATTCTTTCTATGGATGCGCGTGTAGCAGCGCCTAGGCCGGCTACTTTAGGAGAGATGGCTAATATCCTACTAGCTTCGCGTGGTAGCCAACCTCCGCCTACCGTTGGTAAGAATTGGCCATCAAAGTTTATTTAACGACGCGATGAGCTTCGAACACGATTCTCAGTACGATACGACTACCAGCGCGCATTAAACGAAGACCCAAAAGCCCTACGAGCCTGGTTTGCGACCGTACAAAGCGTGATTGACGAGAACGGGATACAACCGGAGGATATCTACAACTTTGATGAGACAGGCTTTGCAATGGGCCTTATATCTTCGCAGAAGGTAGTAACGCGAGCGGAATTCTACGGTCGAAGACGTCTCCTACAGCCAGGAAATCGCGAATGGGTTACTGCAATCGAAGCAATTTGCGCAGATGGCTATTCGCTACCGCCATGTATAATCTTCAAAGGCAAAGTGGCTATGGCGGATTGGTTCAAAAATCTACCACAAGACTGGCGATTCGAGGTCTCTGATAATGGCTAGACTACCGATAAGATTGGCCTACGTTGGCTACAAAAGCTCTTTATCCCATCAACAAATTCGCGCGTACGCGGCCGGTTTCGGCTATTAATCCTTGATGGCCATAGTAGCCATCTTACGCCCTAATTCGACCGAATCTGCGCAGAAAACGATATTATCCCTCTTTGTATGCCTGCGCATTCATCGCATCTATTACAACCACTAGATGTTGGCTGTTTTGCAGTGGTTAAACGCGCGTACGGTCGCTTCGTAAGCGATCTTTCGCGTACGGGATATAACCATATCGACAAGTGCGATTTCTTAGAGAACTACTAACACGCGCGGCTAGAGGCCTTCCAAAAGCTTGCTATTATTCAGAATAGCTTCGCAGCTAGTTGCCTAGTATTAGTCGATGCAGAGAGAGTGCTTTCGAAACTTAATATCTCTCTCCGAACGCCTACACCACTAAGCAGCCGGCTAAGCAGCAGATCTAGCTAATTCACGCCAAAAACGCCGAGAACCGTCGTTCAGCTACAAAAGCAAGCTTCGATGCTTAAAGATCTACTAAAGCAGCGGTCAAATAGCCCTCCGAGCCCATCAAAAAACATATTAGATCGCATTATCAAGGGCCACTACGAAGCGCTGCATAACACTGCAATACTTGCGCAGGAGAACGCGAATCTCCGCGTAGCGAATGAGAAGATCGTTAAGAAGCGTAATAGGTCAACTAAGCAGATACCCTACGAAGAGGGTTTAACCGTCGAAGAGGGCCTACAGCTAGTTAAACAGCTAAACCAGCCGGTAGAAGATAATAGGATGGTATCGCATAGGCAGAGCGAATTGCCTAGTCAGGCAAATGCACCACCTACTAGGGCCCCGCCTAGGTGTAGTGGTTGCAGGGAGATTGGCCACAGGATTAATACATGTAAAAATCGCTATATTTAGTTGAATTAATCGGTGTTAGTTGAGTTAATCGAATTTGAATTTTTCTAATGGGGGTAGGTGGCTAGGGTAAGCGGGTGGCCAGGGTAAGCGGGAATTACGTTAAACTAACTATATAATAATTACTAACTTAACTAAGAAAAAATAGCCTCGTAAAAATCTAATTATAATCTAGTCTAATATAGGCTAATATATTTAAAAGTATCTAATGAATAGTACTAATTTAATTAAGAAGCTTTATAGATTCATAAAGGTTTCGGCGAAGAGAGTCTATATTACGATTTTTAGAAGAACCTTAAATTCGCGAACTTAACGAAAACTAAAAGTTATAGATATCTCTTTTAAAATAATCAATCGATCCTTACGAGATATTTAACAAGATAAATAACTAAAACTTATATCTTTTTAAATACATATAATATAAGGACTACTATAGAATACTTATAGAAGGAGACTTTTTTAGAGATAGTTATAATCCTTATATACTAATTCCTTCTATTAAGAGATTTTTATTAAATAATAATAATTACCGATTTTACTAATACCTAACCTATCTAATTTAACTACCTAATAATAACTAATTAGATAATAATAAATAGAATTAGGTAGATTAATTAGAAGAATACTATCGTTTATAATAATGAGACAAATATTATTAAATAACCTAACTATATTTAATATACTAATACTAAGATAGGATATTTTCAAAGAAACTTTATCCGAGGATATAGGGCGTTATATAAAAATTAGTACTAATTTTTTATTTCGACTAAAGTAATAATTGATTCCGGAGCGGTAGATAACTTTAGAAGTCTATAATGTAAAAGCCGTTACTTAATTAAGTATAGAGAAACTACGACCTTAACCTATTATTAGCCTTAATATTAAGAGCCTAGGAATATAAATAATATATAAGAGCGGAACCTTACTAATAGTAATAGGAGATTACTTCGAAACTATTAGTTTCGATATTACTAATCTTCGATTATATAATATCATACTTAGAGTACTATAACTAAAGAAATATAATCTAGCCATTAATTAATAAATAGGAATAATAGTCTTCGATGAATATTTATATTAATAGATAAGATATAGACCGGAAGTAAGTATAAAGCGCTAGAAAGACCTACCTTAGGGGAAGTAGATACTTATAAAAATCCTTATAAAGAAGAACTTAAGAGAAGTACTTAGCTAAGAGATAGGCCTAATATATAGTAAATAGTCGATATTGGTATTATTACTATTATAAAATAGTGACTTAATATAATTGATAAGGAATTATAGGAGTATATCCTTATTAACTATAATAAAAAATAAGCCCTTTATATAATAGACACGCTAGAGAAGAAGTACGAGATTCCTAAAGAATACCGAGAATTCTAGGATATATTTACGCTATTATCTAATAATTAACTACTAGAATATAATTTATTTAATTATAAAATTAAGATTGAGATTAAGATTGAAGAAGGATAAGAACTAAAGTTTATACCTATCTATTAATTATTATAAAAAGAATTAGCGATACTTAAGGAATATATTAACGAAAACCTTAAGAAAAGAAATATTCGAAATTATTAGTAGGATACCTAATCCTATTTATACCTAAGAAAAGAGGGGAACTAAGAATATTTATTAATTACTAATAACTTAATAGTATTACTATTAAAGACTAGTACTTATCAGCGTTAATTAATAAGATCTAAGATATTATCTAAGGAGTAATATATTTTAGTAAATATAATATTACTAATATATATAACTAACTATATATTAAGGAAGAAGACGAATAGAAAACGGTATTAAGAACTAAGTATAGATATTTTAAATATAATATTATATTATTTAATCTTACTAATATACTTATATTATTTTAATATTTTGTCTTTAATATTCTAAAAGGATATCTAGATAAATTTATTATTATATGTCTATATTCTCTAAAATAGAGATAGAATATATTAAATATAACTAAAAGATACTATAACGGTTAAAAAATTAAAGATTATACTTAAACTTAAAAAGTATAAATTCTATATATAGAAAACGAGCTTCCTTAGATATACTATTAATCTTAATAGACTTAGAATAAAATAAGATAAGATTAAAAGTATACTTAAATAGCTAATACTAATATATATTAAGGATATATAAAGCTTCTTTAGACTCGCTAATTACTATCGAAAGTTAGTTCCGTAATAACTAAAATATACAATAGGACTTTATTAATTTACTAAGAAGGATATACTATTTAAATAGGATAATAAGGCGGAGAACCTATTTAAGATATATAATAAAAAGGCAGGAGAAGCTATTATTATAATATTTAACTATAATATACTAATTATTATAGAAACCGATATATTAGATTTCGAGCTTAATATATAGATTATATAACTAGGAGAAGACGGTAAGCTTAGACCTATTACCTTTTAGTCTTAAAAGATAATCTTAGTAAAGCTTAATCATAATTTTTATAATAAAGAACTACTAATTATAGTATTAGTATGTTAGATATAGAGAGTATACTTAGAAAGAGTAAAATATACTATAATTATTAGAACTAATATTATAACCTTATATACTTTATGATAATAAAAGTATTTACCTAACGATAAATATAATAGGTAGAAATATTAGCCTAATATAGCTTTAAGATTATATATAATAAAGAAATTAAGAATATAATTACGAATATACTAAGTCGACGACTAGACTATAAATTTAGAACTAAGGAGATAGTATTTACTATCCTAACTATAGATAGCGAAGGAATTATTATTTATAGTTACTAAATACTCGCTATAATTAACGAATTATAAGATAATAAATGGCTTAATAAGATTTAAGTTAATACTAAAACAGATAAATTAATTTAGAAGATCCTAGATAATAATATTATCCTAACATATAATAGTTTAGTCTATATTTATAGCCTAATATATATTCCTAAGAACCTTTAGAATAAGACTATTTAATTATATACCATATAGAGAAATAGAAAAATTAGAAACCCTAATATAAGTATAGGAATAGATTACTATAGATTGTATTATAAAACTACCTATTTCGGAGGGTAATAATATATTTATAGTAGTTATCGACTAACTAACTAAATATATATATAATCCTAATAATAGAAACTACTAATATATAATAAATAGCTAATCTATTACTTAAATATATATCTACTATTAAGACACTAAGTAAGATTACCCTAGAGATAAGTTCTTTATATTTAATATATAATAATTACTTACAGATTAATTAGATATTAAGTATAGACTCTATAGCCTACTATCTATAGACTAATAGATTAATAAAATAAGTTAAATAGATATTATAGTAATATCTATAATATTATATAAATTATAGGTAAAATAACTAAATAGAATTAAAATTAATAGCTTAGTTTATATATAATAATACTATATACTCTATAATTAAGGAGATAATAACTTTGATGAGACAGGATTTGCAATGGGCCTTATTGCAAATCAGAAAGTGGTTACGCGCGCTGAATACTACGGTCGGAGATCTATCTTACAGCCTAGAAATCGCGAATGGGTCACTACGATTGAAGCAATCTGCGCAGATGGTTATTCACTACCGCTATGCATAATCTTTAAAGGCAGTATTTTCTAAGCTAGCTGGTTTAATAACCTACCAAAGGATTAGCGATTCGAGGTCTCTAATAACGGTTAGACTACTAATGAGATTAGCCTACGCTGGCTACAAAAAATCTTCATCCCATCAACGAATTCACGCGTACGCGGCCGATTTCGCTTATTAATTCTTGATGGTTATGGTAGCCACCTTACGCCCTAATTCGATCGAATCTGCGCAGAAAACGATATTATACCTCTTTGTATGCCTGCGCATTCATCGCATCTATTACAACCACTAGATGTTAGGTGTTTTGTAGTACTTAAACGCGCGTACGGTCGCTTCGTAAGCGATCTTGCCCGCGTAGGATATAACTATATCGATAAGTTTGATTTCTTGGACGACTACTAACGCGCGCGGCTAGAAGCCTTCTAGTCGAATACTATTCAGAATAGCTTTATGGCTACTGGTCT